CATCTAGCTAAGAAACATAATGAGGTATTTGTCTCAAATAACCCCTAGGAAAACAAAAGAAAACCTACATAGAACTTTCAAAAGCCTAAATATTCAGTAAAATGTGGAGATGCTGGATATGATTTGTTATGATGAAGGCCAGAGGTCAAACAAGTTTTTCAATAATACTCCGCAGAATATGAAAATATATCAAGAGTAATGAATACAACCTTCTTCATTGAGAACGGGAATAATAATGTGAAGAAGCCTAAGGAGACAGCGTACCTAATTACATTAGTGTGGAGTGATTGGCTTTGGGGGGGCCTTTCTTTTTATATTTTTTGTTTAAATGGGAATAATGGACTGTCAGATCATGCTCAATATTGAAGTCTGGGAAAATGTAAAGCTTTTCCCTTTGAATATTTACTTCTCTACATGAAAGATGTTCAGTTTGAATGGCCTAGATTAGAGTATTAAGTACATGAAGTTTGTGAGTATTTGAGAAAGAAACAGAGTAATGGATTTGCCAGGAAAGTTTTGTGCACTGATTGCAGCATCCTGAATCAACCTAAAAGTACAGAACTGAATAAGCATTAGAGCTGTCCAATAAGATTTGATGAATGCACTATTCCATTAATTTTACCTTTTTTGTTGAATAAATTATTTGACAAATAATAGTAAAATTCATCAAATAAATTATCTGGTGAATATATTTTTTAAGTAATTGACTAGCCCTAATGAATATGCAGGCATTTCTTTAATGAAAAGCATTACTCTACTGTTAGCCTGCTTTCATCACTCACATGTCACTATTTTTGTATTTTATAACTGCAATCTGTATATTTTATTCATTTACCCATTCATTTATACATGAGAAGTTCAAAACGGTATGGTTAATTAATCACTGCAATTCTTAGAATATTTTTGCTTGAAAGTTGATTATTCATTGCATTTATTGTATACAGAAATGCTTAATAAAAAGAATCTGGATTTTCTGAAGACACTTCTCCCAAGAACTATTCTTGGTTTGTATGTTCCAAGTCAACAAAAACGCTCTGCAAATTGCAGAGTCCATTTATAAGTCATTTCTGTAGTTGCAAACACTACAATTACCAATTGTTTCAAGAAATGGGAGTTTGAAACTGAGCCAGACACCTTCAAGGCCCCTGAAAACATACATTAGCATAGTAAAACAATGAGAAGCATACACAAGTTACCCCTTCACTGCACAGTGTGCTAGGATGTTTGGATAGAAGCCACAAGCAAGATTATTTGGATGGTGTGTAATATTGGAAATTTTCCAGTCTTGAAAAGCAAGTCTGTGTTTTGTCATTACAGAAGTAGTCTCAACAGTAATACTGATAGTTTTATACTGTTAAATTGCAAATTACACCTGTTAATGTTACATCACACTTCTGGGTCCTGGTACCTCACAGAAGTATGCCAATTTATTGTGGCAGAAACAATGGGTGGAATAGTCAAGTCCGAGCATTTCTGCCCATACTGCAAAGTTGCAAATCATATTAGCATGTGTCTCCTTAAACTTGCTGCACAAGGTTCAACTAAACAGATTTAATGGGAGAAGGTTCTTGTAGAGGGGCATGTTAAAAGGGTCCTCTGCAGCTACACTCATAGTTGTTGTGATTCACTTCCAAATTTTGCTTTTAATGACTTGTAGACTTTTGGTAAGTACAGCATTAATGGTCTTTTCATACCACTACTAAGCAGCCTAATTTCTATGACCAGCTGAACATCTACTCTATTGCTGTTCCTCTCAGTAGGTATAAGTGGAGGAATATAACCTATGTTTGTGGTGTTTGAAAGATGAAGTTCTCACAAGTGTCAGTGACGTGGAAGAAAGCCCTTACATGGGTCTGCTTCCACTCAAGACAGAGTATGCTGTCATGTTAGAGGTGGGAAAAGCGCTGTAGAAGGCCCCATACAACAGCAAGGAGTCTGTTCTTAGTTAACATTACACAATCATTAAAATGGCAGCTGCGTTACCCTGCAGAAAAATGGTTATTTCCATTCTACACACTTCTATTACAGGGAGATTATTATTGTAAGAATGTATTACAAAAGAAAAGAAAATGTTCTAGGGATTTTCTTTTTTTCATTTTCCTACCTTTTATCTCTGGAACTTATATTTTTATAATATAAGTTCCTCAATCAGGCACGGGTTGTAGTTTGTGGGAGTGTTTGTCCCTTAAAGCTTGTGATAAATTCACTTTTCTATTAAAAAGTTTAAATACTTGTTATAAATAATTTCTCCACACTTGTATGCTTTGATCTAATCTACTGCATAGTTTTAGCTAAAATGGTTGTGGTTCTAAAGATTACAAGTATTAGGAGAAAGAAATAAGTTGTGGAAATTATCTTTAGCTTGCAGCTTGCTTTACAAAGGTTTAAAATGCCCTTTCTTTGCTAACTCCATCTAAACAGCTTCTGACCCACTCCTTTTCATGTACAGTCACCAATCTAATAATAATAATAATAATAATTTTTAGGTGGGATCAATAAGGCCATTGCTTTACACTTAAGAATTCTAATAGAATCATAATATTAATAAGCAAACACCTTCAGAAGTAGTGCTACTGCTTAGGCAATAAGAGGAGAACTTAGTTTATACTTCTGATAAATACTTGAGCTCCTTATGCTTCTGTATTATTACTGCAGATTTAAAGCCCAAGGATGCATTTGAAACAATGTGCCTAGAGACAGAAAACCCACTGGTACAGAATTAGTTCTATTCTTCATCATTTACATGCTGTCTCAAAGGTATATTACAGTATAATTCAAACCACAAATTTCCTGAGGTTCACAGAATTCACAGAAACAGAATGCACCATTTGGGTGTGTGGGCTTTTGTGCTGACAATAAGATTTATTTTTTTGTGCAAGAATCAGATTTGCGATGAGCAGTTCTCTAGAGTTTTTGTATTGAAACTCTCCAAGCTACCTTGGAAAATCCACAGAATCATTTCATTAGTAGATGAATCTCAGAATTAAAGGAGTGCTTGAAGCTGCTAGAGTTTGTAGCTTTCCATATAAGGGTTATGGTGATCTATCTGGTTATTCCAGAACCAAGAACTATATTAACTTTTTTTTTTTTTTTTTCATTTTGCTTTAATTAGCTAAGGGGAAAGTGGATATCTTGAAAAGAGATAGGCATCTTTAAATACAGGAACTTCCTGATTGCTGCTACTTTGGGAAGTGTTTAGACTTTGTCACAGTGCCCATGCAGTGCACTCAGGAGAGAATGGGCAATGAAACAGATGTAATGCAGTAAGCATGTGACCTATGAAACACACATTTAACACCCACTTCATCTCCTTAAGTTAATGTCTTTTTGCACGAGGTTTCCCATAATCTTCACGAAGAGGATCAACTTTACCATCTCCCATTTGTCTTTTATTTCATGGATGTTGCCTGCTGCAAGATGTGGAGAGCTCAAGCAAAGGCAAAAACCCAGTTTTCAGGATGTGCCTCTGTGGCTGGCTTGTATTGAAAGCACTGATCTGCTGCCTCTGTGCTGTGTGCCTAATGTCTTGCATAAGGCACAGGTCAGCTGGAGATGAAAACAAAGCTGTAGATGCATACATTCGTTCTGTTTTGTATATTTTGATAACATACTATACTGACAGCACAGACATATGTCACTGCCCATAAATCTTCATCTGAAGGCAGGTGAGTATAGGAAGGAAAGCAGCAAGAAAAAATCTCAGCTCTGCAAGCTGCCTTCCTGGAAGAAAAAGATAAGGTCCAAAGAGGACAAAGGAAGTTGCCAACTTGAACCTAAGAACTTAAGAATTTCCAGTAAAGGTTGATCTTTCACCCCATGATTTTCTTTTACTGCATTAACCTGTCAATATCATCTGAAGTCAGGGTCGTGGAACAGAGGGAGCTGTAGCACCATGCCTCTCCATGCTCATCGGGTGTGGTAGGGAGCGTCACCTGGGGTTGTATCTGACATGTTTTTCCCAGCCTGCCCAGTCTACAACGTGAACTTGAGATGGAACTGGGCCTGAGTTATATTTAACACTTTATTCAGCTTTGAAGTGGCTAATGCATTGAAATAAAATTGTTTTAACTATAATCTTGTGTGTGTTAGGCCCTGCCACTTCTTTTTACATATCCTCACATTTATCACCATCAGCTTTAATAGCAAGGAAGGGATATTACTGACATGACCATAGATGTCACAAGGCCTTACCACTGTACCTTCTCTTTCTGTTAGCTCCAGCTATTGCCCGATCACTGTCTACCCAGTCATACACAATAACGCCCCATTACAGTTGGAATGGTTTGTTAAACTTTATAGCACTTAGAAATGCTCTTGAAGCACCAAAAATGTTTTGATTCAGAATGGAACATATAATACCTGCCAAATTTGCAGGTTTGAAACCACTTCCAATAAGAATTAAAAAGGCCCTCTTCACAGCTGAAATAGGGCTATCAATACTTGACTTGTCTGCCCATGTGAAATAGCGGGTTCTTTTCTCTGACGTCGCAATTTAGTTTAAAATAGCTTTGATGATGACAGGGTACATGCGAGTGATAAAACCATAAAGATGACAGTCTAATCTTACAAAGATGACCGATCACTGATAAGAGATTAAGTCACACAACATTTGAAAAACCAGATTATCTGTCTGCTAGGATGGTGTATGTGTACACCTCCTGCCGAGCCATGCTGAGATGCCAATGACATACAAAGATACTACTTCTTACAAACTAGAAATGCTTTTCTCAAGCCATTGGGTTGAAAGGAAGAAAGCGAGTGAGAAAAAAGAAGCTCTGATCTTATAGTGAGGTTTTTTTTTTTTTCTGTCCAACATTCACTTTTCAGGCTATTTAGATGTACAGCATATAAATAATTTAGAGACACTATAAAAGGATCTAAATTAGCCAATTCTGCCCTATAATTAGCACTCACAGCTATGCTGGCAATGGGTGGGTGATTATTAAACACCTTTTATTATCAGTTTTATGTACTACAATAAAAATGAAAATTATACTTACAAGAATTATTAGGCATGCTGGTCCTATAAAACTCCATATAAAGTTATTCTTTGTGCTGAGCCAACATCTGAAAAATAAACAGCACAAAACATCTTGAATTGTGCAAGGCTGTTGTGATTATTGCATTCTCACATACATTGATTTGAACCCAAAAACAGCAACTTACACTTCTGTGGTGCCGTAGTACTTGTATCCCAGTGCAGCAGAGATGCCAACTACCACAGCTGGACTTACATAGCCAAAGACATAGAAATTCTTGTGCAAGAAACCCTTGTTATAGATGACTCCCACAACTATAAGGTAGAGGTGAATGCCTTCAATGCACATCCATGCAAATGCAGCTAGAAGGAAATAATGGAGTAATCCAGCAGTAATTGAACAGACGAGCTAGAAATTCAACCAGAGAAAAGCAAGAGTCACAATTCTATTAATATGTCTCTTAATATTGCAGCACATGCACAGCAATCTAGCAATATTCAAGCAATACAGCAGCACATATGTAAGGCTGATTGACAAGATCTTGGCCTGTACCTACAAGCACATTTGTTCATTAGTGTTTTCTATAACAACTGCTAAAATAAAAAGATGACATTCAACTTAAAATCAATGCATGTCTTTCCAGAAAAACTGCATTAACAAATTGACAAGGTTGATCCCATTGCTACACCTGAAAATCACGGTTACATAATTTGCTGATTTAGATGAAGCCTATTTTTATAATTTTGATAGCAACACAAATAAGCTTTATGAGCAATTATTTCTAAAGGAACTTTATACAATGAAATGTTCCTAAGATGATATTGCTCAATCAATATTGTAGTGCAGCCTTAAGGATTGCAGTTCATGCTTTTTTCAGGTAATTTTAAATCCTATTCAGCAATTTATGATATAGCTTTCTTGATAATTTATGCATGATTTAATTTACTAAAACTATTCTGAGATGCAAGAACCAACAGTCCTACTTGTACGAAAAGTAACATAGATTAGTCAAGACTTCATATTTAGGTAGCAAAGGCCCTCCCACCAACAGTGCAACCTTGGAACTGCAGCTCTGACCTGGCTTTTAGGAAAAATTTTCATCACAGAGAGCCACCAGCATTGCTCTAAACAGCATTCAACAGATGTGAAAATGTCAGGCGCACTTAGACCACAGTCAGTTAAAGTGAGAAAGTTTAAATGAAACTCATGGACCAAATTCAACTTGCATCAGCTCAGATGACAGCTCTATTTCTATAGATTACAGCAAGTCCAGGTGATCATTTTATATTTCCTGTTACTTGACCAGGAAGTCAGTATCACTAGGCTACTATATACTGGTAAATATAGTACAAAATACTGGAAGTAAGGGAAGATGGTATCTCATACTGTATATTTGCTTTACAACACAAACTCGAGACACAAGTGAAACTACTCACCTTATTATTGTTCATATTAATTCCAATCAGGAAAATAAGTTCTGCCAGGAAAAGGCTGCAGCAGAGGTTTTTGTGAATTGTTGTTCTAGTGCTTTGAATTTCACTGAAGAACCAGAATGTAAAAATGCACATGGAGAGGCAAATCAACGAAATAATTATTCCTAGCTGAGTGATTCTTGTAAGAATGTTATAATTTGTAACACCCTGGGGGAAAATTATAATATAATATTAAAAAGAATAGCTTTGTATGTTCTCAAGAAAAATTGCATTCTATAATACAGTTTTTTTCTTATTTTGAACAAAATATTAATAAATATGTTTGCAGAGTTACAGTGCAAATGCAAACTTTGCATAATCTTAAAAGCATTATGTTTTTGATTTTTTTTTTTTTTTTTTGTGGGGGGAGGCAGATATAACATGAAAGGAAATTAATAATGAACTGTATATTTTCTGGTTTCTTAGCAAAACTTTATTAACACCAGTATCTCGTAATATGATTTAAAAATCATATCGTTTTAGTGAATGACAAACACACTGGCAGTAGAACATATATTAATGTGACATGAACATTTTCTAATATAAAAGGACTTATCACAGCAGTGACTTAGATAAGCAAAATTGAATAAGCATCTTACTGAACTTACAACATGATCAAAACAAGACTCTGAAATAGCAATCATTTCAAACAAATGCTTTTCCAGATACCTAACAGGAATGTTCTCTAAAGAAACACAGGGTATTTTAATATTGGTTGTGAATATTTTTGTATAGGAACATGGTTATGTTTGCTGCTTGGTATTCACATAAAGAATCTCTGAAATACCTGACTGTGCATCAGCATAAGGATAGCATTCAGCTAACCAGAAAATGTATTGAAGTTTTTCCTTCACTAAATAAAGGACCAAAGATTATCCTCCTCCCATTCTCCCTTTTCCAAATAACATATAAGTACCGGCAAAGGTCTTAAATGTGAACTGAAGGCTTAGGATGCTATTTAGCAAGCAGGAAACAGCCTCTATCAGCATGAAATTCACAGTGTGAGAGTACTATCTCAATACAGTATATTCATGCTAATATTCTGCTTGCTGTCAGTTCTGATACTGTATAAAGTTGCTTTCTGAGACAGGACACAAGCTCCTGCAGATCCCCATGTGGACTCTGGAAATCTATGGGGCTTCTTAATGTAAGAAGGATAGAAATTGAGTGGTCATTCTCACAGTTTTGTTGTAGTGAGCGTCTGTGTTTGATAGTCATAAACTTCCTTCCTTTTACTGTTGATGATGCTCTTCTGATAATGCTGTTGCAAAATCTCAGGAGAGCATTTAAAGGAGATTTTTAGATGCCAAAGTTAGACAAATGGGTGGCAAAGCTTTGCTCGAGAGAAACTGTAGGTCGTATGACCACTAATGAAGGCCAGTTAAATCCCATGGCAGTCTTAAAGCGTGATTTAAAATTAAAAGCAATGCACCAAAAATAAGCACAACAGACTGTGTATTGGGAACAAGATCCTTTGCTACATCACTGCTCGGCAATACTGCAGAAAGGACACACAGAAATTTAAACACATAGGGGAAGAATTTTGTTTGCCCAGTGTACAATAAATTGTGTGTTTGTTGAATAAATAAGTAACAACCTAAAGGCAAAAAAGTACATAAATTGCACTGCAATAAAAATATAACAAATGAAGATAAAAGAAAGTATCGAGTAAAACAATAAATTAAAAGGGCACTTACAACAGAGCCACCTGAGGACATCAAAACAGCAAAATGAGTCAGATGATTACATTTGCATGAGATATGAGTGGAATTAGAATGCGTCAGCTCACAGCCTTCTGTAGCCCAGTTGCCATTCATTGTGTCAGCTGAGTAGTTCCAAAATGCACATTTAATATCTTTATCTGCAGTCTGGAACAGAAACAAGATGTTTTACTGATGGCAAAAAGCAGGATATTTCCCATCAAGAGACCTCTCTTGCATTACCCACTGCAATTCATTAAAAATTCCATGTTTCCATTGGAAGGCTGGGAAACAAAAAAGCACATTGGTAAGGCCTATTCCAAGCAATTAAAATGTGGCTTGGAATGGAAGCGCTTTATTCACACAGTTAGCACTTCACCAAACATGCAGGCTAATCAGATTACTGAACCCATTTGGCACTTAGCAACGTGTTAGAATTTTTACCTACTGGAAATACTGTTATATATGCCCCTGCACCTGCTGAACATGGACTAAACCCCAAGGTTACAGTCACATTGCTTGTAGTCCCTTTCAAATAAGCATCTCAAAACCTGAAAGTTATTCTATGCATTTTACAGAGCAGTCTCGGAGAAAGTCAGGGTCATATCACACTTGGTATATCAGGTGTGATGACAGCAATGAATAAGACCATTAATATTACTTATTACTGATAGTGCATATATACACTAGTCAAAGATCAGCTCTCCATTGTACTAGATACTGTATAAATATATGCAAATTTATAGAACGCTGATCTCTATCTCAAATATTACAAGGCAAGTAACAAATTTAAAACCTACATAATCAAGGTTAACACCTCACCCTTCTCCCACCTCCCTGCAGAGTCATTTTCTTGTTGCCTTGCGATATGTAAGATGATTCTTTACATACAACTGAAGCTAGCAAAATCTATGTAAAAGTAAAAATCCCAATTATAGAATGATATATTCAAATTTCAGAAATAGCAAAGGTGCTGTGCTATGGGTTCTTCTATTACCTTTTAGGCAATTGTTAAATTTTTGCTTTAATTTCTTCTTTTTTTGCAGTATATATGTGTAGCCATCTGATAAACTTTCAAGAAAAAATAAAAACCTAAATATAGAACAATCAGGAACCAGTAATATTGCTTCAGACAATTGCATTTTATTCATACTGCAGCCAAACAAAGATGGCATTGCTGCCTTTACTTTAGTAGAACTTTCTAGCAGTATCATATTTAACACTGAAGATGCTATATTTGAGATCATTATTTATTTCTCTGATAGAAGTAAACTCAAAACAATAGCAAACAACAGAATTGTGTCTGAATATATCATACACAGCAGATATGGTTACATCACACACAATAATTAGCTACTGTTTTATTTTGAAGTTCATAACATAAAAAAAAAAAATCTTACCTTGGTGTACTTTAATGTAAATGTTATTTTCTCGAGCTCATACAGCGTAGGTGGATTTGAGCTAATTGCAACAGCTATAACTGATGAGCTTACTGTCTGTCTCTGCTCAGAACTATCTTTCGAGGAGCGGTTTTTAGGCGATGAAAGCAAAGAACCAATATTGCTATACCGCAGAAAGACAACTGCAACAGTGCCTATCAATCAAACAGACCATATTTAGTAGTTTGAGGTTTTTTATAGACGAACAAAATTGAAGACATTAAGGAAACAATAAACAATAGACATAATTACTGTTATTGCATAAAATATGCAAACCAGATGGAATCTTTGTGGAATACTTATAAAAATGTTTTAGAGACAATGAAATATAGCTTTATTTAAAACAATGTAACCGCCATTAGAATTAAAAATGTGTTCACTTTGGAAATTCTAATTAGATGCACGCATACCTATTTTTTCTAAACTAATATATGCGTGCTGCTGTTCCGCAATTGGCTTCACGTGTGTTATCAGGTCTCATAAACCAAGACAGCTAAATCCTGGTGCTCTCTAAAGCATGTGGCTTGCTTTGACTTTCATTACAGTGGAAACAAGGGGGGAAGGTGCAATGGGAAAAAGAAACCAAAGGTATTTTGGGATGTAGTGCTGATCAGAAAAGTCACACTTTTCTTCCCTGTACCACAATAAACTACACTTCTGGATGCTGATAGGTAGTGGGTCTCAGATTAGCTGGAAGATTAAGACTTAAAAGCATTTTTTGGTGTGTTTATTGGTTTAGGTGCATTAACTCTGGAGCTTTTTAACCACATTCATTTAATTTTAGTACTGGACTATTGCTAGTTATAAGACATTTCTATAGCGCTCTGAGGTCCAAAGTCAAATTCAGGACCTTGTTGGTTTTGGTCCTGGGGAACATGCGTTCTTGCATTAATGAGCTGCTCTCTAAATAGAAAAGTGGCACTAACTTTTGGAGTGACACAGAGTTGGGGACTGATCATCCAAAGTCAGAGAGCAGATCTATGGCTTAGAAAGGGATAAAATTCAGGTCTCTGATATCGATAATCAGTGTTAAAACTTACCGGTCCTCCCTGTGAGATAGTCATTGTGTAAATGATGGTAGAAAAATCAGTATTGAGAACAAGAAGGGGGTAGGTGAAATGGTGATAAAAGTGCCTTGACTCTGTAGTTAAGGCTACAGCTAAGTCCTAATACACTGCACACCTGGTTGTTTACTAGTGGTACAGTCTATTCCAGGAGTTTATTAACACCCCTGCTCTTTAATTGTTGTCTCCTACCGTTGGATTGATATTCTTCCTTCTTCTTTGGGGAGATCTTTATGTAGTCTCCTTCTGCGTATACATGTGGGTGAATGTGTTTCACGTGGTGAGAATCAAAAACAAAAACCTTGAGTGCTGCAAAAGAAGAAAAATACTGTAAAAATCACATTATCCATTACGTCTAAGATAATTTACAGTTGGATTAATAAATGTGCTACCAAATTGTATAATTACTGTAAATTTCAAGAATATATCATTGCGCCAAATATTTTTTAAAAAATGCTATTAATACAGCATGTTTGCTTAGACTTCTGATTTTGTTATTTCTGTGCATACATTTTGCTTTCATACTTTTTACTCTTTCCATGAGAAATATAGTCTTTTATTTACCTTGCATTAAATTAGGCACTGGAAAGAATAATATAGGTTACTTTAGGAAGAGCTATTGCTTTATTAAAAATGCATTTCTGAAAGGAACCACAAATCACAATTATAAAGAGCAAAACATAAAATTCTCTACTGAATAGTAAGTTTTGATAAAAGCCAATTTTTGAAATGTATATATTTTATAGTTATCTATCCATACTACCAAATGCACATTGCATAAAATAATGATGTGTTTTGTCAAGAAGAAAACAAACAAGCATCACCCCTCAGAATGGAAACTGCATTAGAGGACATTGAGCTCTTTACTCAGTTCATTATAGTGCTGAGTTTCCGTCACCCAGGATGGGAATAAAAAAAAGTCAATCAGGCCTTTTATAGAAAACAGAGCTAAACAAAAACAAACAAATCTAAAACTTGACTGATGGAGGAGTATCACTAAGCTAACCATCTGCATTGCTTATAGCACAGCACACAAAAATAATATGAGCTATTCAATAGACCAGCTGTCAGAAAATGTTTGTCAGGACATAAGAAATATTTTTTTGTTGTTGCTGGAGTTTTGAAAAGCATACAGTTCAGGAACTTTCACTATAAAAAGTGTTGGAGAGAGAGAGGTAATGTTGTAGGTCCCAAAATACATGTGTGGGATGTGTACGAGCCTCATAGAAAACATATTCATGCTGAGATACGATAGAAAACAATTATAATGTTTGCAGCCCATATGGAAAAGACCTCACAGAACTACCTATTTTGGAACTAAAGCAAGCTAGAAAATGATCAACATATTTCAATGTAGATATTCCTTTCCATTCTTCTAATTAGCTTCTTTTTGTCACTTTGGTTGACTGGTGTCAACCGATTCCTCTCTTCTCTCCATCTTCATGGATTCTGCTCCATGGTCACAAGAGAGCCTGTGCCTCAGACTGGTGGTGGATGAAGAGGAGCTTTAGAAGTAGCTCCCAGCAGCATTATGGATCTGCTGGACACCCAAAGGTGCTCTAAACTAAAATATATCCATAAATCTTTTTCCACAGTGCTTATGTCATAGAACAAATGTCTTCCTGTTTTCTTTCTTTCCTTCTTTCTTTTTTTAAAATCTCTTTTGCTAATTTAGTTTCAGAGAGGTGAGAGAGTAGAAATCTGGTCAGATCCAGTTTGGGTACACTCCAGAAACCAAAAATACATGAGTGATCATTGCCAAAAGAATCAACAACACTTGATTACAGATCTTCAGAAGGCCTTAGTCTGCTTCTTATTCTGTAAAAAAAGTAAAGCTCCCATAATCACAGAAAAATGGGTAAGAGCCGGTATGAAGAAGTCAGTAGGCAGGGAGAAGGTTGGAAAGAAAAATAGTAGTTGGAACTACTACTCTGAAATTTCTCTTAAAATAGAAATTTTCTGAAACTAAGGCCACACAAGATCTAACTTCTGACCTTTTTTCCAATTTTTTTTACATTACTTTCACTGAACCAAAAAGAGACACAAAGTTTTAAAGAGCAAATTCATCTTTTGCTACTGTTTCTATGAATATAAGATATACAAGATATTTTTGTGCATATAAGATAAATCCAGATTCACTACAAAAGTGTAACTATAATGAGAGACTGAAAGAGAATCTGAAAGGATAGCTTCCTACAGCCTCTCAAGTTTTTTTCTGGGCTCAAATGTTCAATCTTTGAAAATTATGATACTTACACCAAAGGTGGGGTGTTAGTTATAAAACTCATACAAATTAACACCTGAGTGTTGCACGTAACACTATTTCTAATCTCTATAATTGTGCTGAAAAACTCCTCAGTGTAATTCACATCTAAAGTATACCTTAGATTAATTTTCTATATCTTACCTATGTCACTTGCATTAGCATCTAGCTGTGTCGTCTTTTTGAAGTTTTGCAGCACGAGAAGTGTTGCTTGTTCTGCAGTATGCAGCAACTTAGTCAGGCTCTGTCTTTGGTTATCAACAGGAAGCTCTTCCCAGATGGTGATTTTATCTTTTTGTAAAAAATTGTTCACAGTGTTAACCAAAACCTGTAAGTAAAAGGATATTTTAAAGACTCATACACTATTTATAAAGAGAAAAGCACAGCTTTAAGGCTCGATCTGCTCACGTTAATGGTTGTGTTACGGAGCGCTTCATTGTCAGGAACTGAGTACTGCATGGTATTGAGTGATGAATAAGATAATGCTTCAACATATGAAATCACATCTACAGGCAAAAGTGGTCCCAGAGTATTCCTATTAATTTCTTGCAGCATCTCCAGGGGTGTTTTTAAACGTCTAATCTGAAAAATACAGGAAGGCACATATTAATGAGAGAAATAAAGTTGTATTTCTGTGAGAGAACATAAACCCAATGCTAATAACTGATTTTTGTGAATTAACAAGAACAGAAGGGCATAAAAAGAGGCACTACTTGAATCAAGAGTTTAACATAAAAAGCAATGAAAAACTAAGAAAAAAAAAGTTATGACTGGTATAACATTAAGAAGCAAGTATGGTAAAAAAAAAAAAAAAAATCGCCTATCACTACACCCTTATTTATTTAATTACAACTGCAGCTCAGTTTTATTTAGCATAATACTCCAAAGTGGACTAGTAAGTGTGCACAAATAATTCAATGTCAATTGATATGGTAACTAAGAAGAATCTTTTCTGTTAAAATTTGCCTGAAGAAGTGGGAGCAAATGGGCAGTGTTTGAGCATTTTGTGATGCTTTTTTTCCAAATGCAGATTATAAAACATGCAGTTTAGGGGAACTGAATTTATGAGCTACAAAAATATACTTACATAACACAGTTAGTTTAAAAAGTAATATGTTAAGAGGGTGAGATGTACATTAAGATTGCAGTGTCATGGTTGAATAAGAAAAGAATTCATACTCTACAATACTGAAATCTAATGAGATGCTATCAATCCAAGAAAAATCCTCAATATGGGATTTGGTAAGATCTGTATTCTCTGCTGTTGAGTAGATTTTGTGGAATTTGCTTTGTCTTTGATTGCCTCTGTACAGAAGTAGAACACAGGCTAAAAAATAGGCTAAAATCTGGTACAGCTATTTACATAAAACAGAGATATTATTTTATTTTGACTTTAGTATAACTACGTATTTAAAAAAAATCTTACAGAAACATCCTGGTGTTAGCATTCACCATGTCTTTGCAAGTAAACATTGGAAACATGTTAATATAATATACTATGCCACAGATTAAAACAGAAAGCATTTTAAGAAAATAGTCAAATAAAAGCTTTTAATTCTGGTAACTTGGTCAAATTGCTTAATATAAAATGTGGAAGTATATCATTGGTTTTAATTTATTCATGTTTACGTTTCATTTATCCTTTTAAATCAGACATTATTATAGTTGTAGACTCATTAATTCATTATTTATTCATTTTTATTTGCATCAGGAAACCTTGGTTTCTGCTGAAAAAATTCTAGAGTCCTAAGTCTGGCTCTATAAAGTCTGTACCACTTTACATATTAAGTTTTGAGGAGTGAATATACAAGCATACCAGGATGTTATAGCTCTTTTGTGGATGAAGGTTTGCAATGAGCTAGCAGTGTGCCCTGGTGGCCAAGAAGGTCAAAGGGATCTTGGGGTGCATTAAAAAGATTGTGGCCAGCAAGTCAAGGTAATAATCCTCCTCCCCTTCTACTCTGCTCTGGTCAGGCCTTACCTGGAGCACTATATCCAGTTCTGTGCTCCCCGGTACCAAAAAGACAGGGATCTCCCAGAGAGAGTCCAGCAGAGGGCCACAAAGCTGGTAAGGGGCCTGGAGCACCTCTTACTAGGAAAGGTTGAGCAACCTGGGTCTATTGTTCAGCCTTGAGAAAAGAAGACTCAGAGGTGATCTTATTAATGTTCATAAACATCTTAAGTATGGGAGTCAAAGGGATGTGGCAAACCTCTTTTCATCAGTCTGTGAGGACAGGACAGGCAGAAATGGCCATAAACTGGAGCATAGGAAATTCCTCACCAGTATGTGAAGGAACATCTTCACAGTAAGGGTGATGGAACACTGGAACAGGCTGACCAAGGAGGTTTTGGATTCTCCTTCTCTGGAGAGACCCACTTGTATAGCTTGCTGTAGGGGGCCTGCTTTGCAGGGGGATTGGATTTGATCTCTAGAGGTCCCTTCCAATCCCTACAATTCTGTGATTCTGTGATTCCATTTTCTATTTTGTCATTTGTTGACATTACTTTTGTGAGCTATCTTGCTGCCTTCCACTCTGAACAAGCAAATAATTGCACATCAGCACATAAAGCAATGTGTATCGTCAGAAATTGCAGAAAGAGTTGAGTGATTACCACACTTCTCAATTTTTCATGCATCCTGACTTACTTTGCTGGAAACAGAACACATAGATTCCCAGCAAGTTATTACCATGATTTAAACATATAACTCAGTTCAAATAATTTGAAACTATTTAAAAGACTTCAGTAAACACGTTTAAGTTCAATTCTATGCTTCAAGCATTTGTTGAAAGCTCCTTAAGAACAATTCCACTTGATGTAACAGTTTCAGACAGAAACAATTAAAGGATTTACAAATTAATCTATAAACCAATGCTACTTACTTCTGCTAAAGTTTTATTAACATGTTCTGTTACACAGTCTTTGTATAACTCACACTTGGCCTCTGGATTTTCTGTAAATTAAAAAAAAACCAAACACAAATCTAATTATGTATTGCAGTTCAGTTGATATCCAATATACACTGTAACAGCTCTTGTCTCAGTAGTTCCCCAAACCACTGGCATTCTGAACCCATGCACATGCACCCCAGCCTCAAACTCCCACCTCCAAGGCTTGGCCTTGGCCACAGCTGCTGCTCACACAACACTAAAGCAGCAATGGGCTGGACCCTGAGCTTTGGCTTTGCTTTGGAAGAGAGTCTGGCCCTTTTCTTTGGGACTTCCACCCACAGGAGAAGTTAAAAAACAGCTTGAATTTATACAGAGAAATACAGATTTGATGACTGTAAGGAGACATCCATTATTTCAACTGGGTTTCAACACTGTTTAGTGAAAATACATTTATAAAGGATTCTATTCCCAGGAAATGTAGATGTGAATGCCTTGCCTCTTTTTTACGTCTTGCTGATTAATCTAACTGAAGATAAAGAGGCACTGGTGGGTTTCTCAGAAGATGTAGCTCTATAATAACACATAAACCTTTATAATATCATGTACCTTGGCAGGAAGTGCCATCATTTGGCTTAAACTGCAATTTTCCTGTGGATGGTTGATAACCTTCCTTACAGGAGCAGTTAAACCCTCCATCCACGTTTTCACATTTTGCATGATCTCCACAGGCAACAGTTCCTTCATTGCTGCACTCGTCTACATCTGCAAATATTGTGAGAAATTGAATTTTTTATTAAGTATTTACAGACTAACACCTTGCTGCTTTGTTGATAATAGCCCTGCATACTGCAAGCAGTTTCATAATAAAATTTCATGGAAGAAAAAAAAGTGAAAACTAAAAAGGGAAACTAAGTGACAAAACACCTGCCAATTATAATACTTAGGGATTAGAAGGATAAATCATAATTGATCATATTTTCATACCACACATGTTTTACTATATAATACTGCATTGTTCATATTTTAAAACCATGAGCTTAAATGTTAATTCTATCATAACGAAACACTCGGCATGATGCAAATTATCTGAAATCCATTTTCCAGAGATTAGACTAAACAGATTTTCTCAGCCTTAGTATTCAGTTAGAAAAGAGAAAGAAAACATCAGTCTTTTGTTTTAAGTCATGGCTTTAAAAAGATGCTACCAAAAAATCACTCTATCTATCTCGTTAATCTAAGATCTAAGCTCTGTGCCTTTGAAGTGTTCACTAGGTCTTCTTTTTTTAATCCAAAGGTAGAATGCATGTGCCTAACATGGTTTTTGCCCTTCTAAATAATTTGCTGCTCGGTAGACACATTCAATAAACAGGTGGGACACTGTCCAAGAGCAAACCTGATGAATTCTGGTAAGAGAATCCATGAATTGATCAATTTAGGAGGTCTGTGTGCTGCTGCTGGCTGCTATAGGGATTATTTTGCATTAGTTGGCTGGCTGACAGTAGAGATCAAATAAACTCAATGGACTCACTGGAGAACGTAAAGTAGGAACAACACCAAATAGTTTTCAAGAATGAAGTAATGGACTGTGAAATACTGTGTTAGAAAGGAGAAAAATGTGAGCACTTTTGGGACAGGTATATTTGACAAAAAGTATTGAAAAATGAAGAAGTGACACATGAACAGATTTAAAGGAGCATAGTGAGAAGAAAAGAGGCTGAGAACTTAAGGTAAAGCTGGAAAGGGGAAATAGATGAACTGGAGATATCCAAGGAGAGGAAGACAAACTGAGTTAAGAATTAGGATGATGATGAATTTGGGTAAGAAACTGGTGAAAAAAAGAACTGATGAACTGATTATTGGAGGATATAGATACCCGAATCAATAGGAGGCCTTTGTGCAGTGAGACAGCTTCTAAGAGCAAGCAACAGAAAACAGACACAGGAGACTGAAAATGCACCACAAGTATACCGGAACAATTTTTGTGCTCTTGTTTTGATCTAAAATTGCTGATGGTTTTCAAAATGGTATAAAACAAAAATGAGCAATAATGTTTGTGATACAAGGTTGCTGGAGAATCAGAAATTGTGGGAGAATAAAAAAACACAGTGCATGCCTGTGAATGGATCCAGGGACTACAAAAAGATGTCTGAAAGATACCTGTCAATCTCCCTTTTAGACATTCTTTACTAATGGCAAAAGAGTCTCTATAATCAGAAGAATGATTTTATTATTGTTTTTTTTTTCTAATATGAGGCAACTGTAAACTGTGTTTGAACTTTTAATGGAATACCTCAACATTTCCTATATACACATGCTTTTTCTTGTTTTATGCAATTCCCCAGCTCCGTTTTCTGCTTGTAATCATAAAGCTCTCCCTAGCATTCAAGATTTCCTGAGGTTCCACAGCTTGCTTTCACATCCCTATTTTGCTCACTGAGCAATAGCCCTGCTTTGCACCTCTAAGGCTGCATTTTGAAGCAGCAGTTCAGATGCTCCCCTTGTAGAGCCACTCAAATGCCTGTGCTGCACAGGAGAAGGATGCTGGGATCCCACTGCCCCTCCAGCACAACCACCTCTGCCCTCCGGGGAGAGCTATGGAGAAGGCTATGTTTGGGTGAGTGGGAAAAAGCACGAAACTTACACAATGGGGTTAAATTACTATTATCTGCATTAGGGTTTTGGGTTGCTAATTCCTCCAGATGCAAATGTTTCTCTTTAATGAGCTAAATTTGTTTATCCACATTATCCTGTGGCCTCAGTACTTGTAATCATGGGGCCAGCTATATTTTACATCAATGAAAAGTGAAGAAAAGTGGAGAAAAAATAGGATACAGTGTTACACATAGGCTACCACATAATTAAATGCTGTTATTAAAGATAAAGGCTAAAATTCCTACTCCTGGCATTGAAATAACTTCTCACACCAGTAAATTATAAATCCCTTTTTGAAACAAGTGCCACTCAGTTCCCTGCTCCATGACTCAGTGTGAGGCAGACAAACTTTGAGTGACTTGAAGTGCCAAGGGTGAAAAACACGACAATAACAGTAACAAGAAAACACATCAGCCTTATCCCAAGATTTCTCTGGCCTTGTCAGCTACAAGAAGAAGGACATGCATGTCTTAATGGGAAATTCAGTAAATAACACAGTTCCAAAACACCAGAAAATGACAACAACCTTTGCTAAAACTTAGAATGACTTCTAAATATATAAATATTTGAATACTGTCCAGATTGCCATTGCTAGCTATCCGGTTGCCATGTGATTTAATGTTCCAAGTGTTTCAAAATTATTATGATAATTTCCGTTCCATGAATCTAGTTTGATAAATCATTTATTTGTCATTATTGGGCATTCATACAAATTACTCATCTTTTTGTAATTATGTCACGTATTAAGTGTAATGGAGATTTTAATGAGAAAGCAGGATTATCCAAAATAACAGCAGAAACTCAAGCACGAAAACACATCTCTGGCAACAGAATGGCTATTTAAAGTCTGATAGAGACACCCCGTTGAGTATATGCAAATAGATTTTCTGCAGTTCAGTTGCCCATATGGAATGAGTCCATATCATGCCTAACTAATTTACTGTTTCCCAGAGAAAAAATCTTCTGGATGACAAAATTGAAAGGCAATATGCCTGATCTTGAAAGGTAGTAATCAGCTTCATATTCCTTTTAAATCAATAAGATTTTCAGGGACAATCAATTTGTTACAATTGCAGCCATGTTGCTTTTAAGTTCCTGCTTTGAAATACTCTGTTGTAGTTCTAGGTTTTTGTTTCTTTATATTTTGTACTTATGCCTTTTTTTTTTTTTTTTAAAGAGCATGCAATTGTTGGATCGCACACAAACAGCTTGCCAGTGCTTTCAGCAATTCATTTTCACCTGAGCTTTCAGGCTAGGACCTCAAACCATCCTCCTTGATCTACTACAAGAGCTGGAGTGGGCTGCCAAGGCTTGTGTGTGCAGTCTTCACAGACAACATTCCTGAGCAAAGGTTGAAGAATAGCAGCTTTTTAAACAGAAGAGCATTTGCCATAGCTCTGCAAAAAGCCCTGGCTTTTTAGTAAATATTCAAAACAAATCCCAGAGCTGAACTTTGAAGCTTTTATAATAGCTCCAATCAGAAAATGATATCACCAACACCACTTAGGCTAGTGTGAAAAAAGATTTATAACCTTTTATTTTATTTCTGTGCTTTGTCACTCCTCATTTACTGCAGCAGGCAAGGAAATTCCAATTAAATTAAAAGTACTGAGAACAGTTATTATGTTCAGTCTGGCCAATTACTGGATTGTACCTACATCGCTTTGATTCTTCACCAGTCAGTCAAGACAGCTTGATGTCTACATTATACCTTCTGCTTATTAGTAGCTTGTGAGTGACTGAAAAGTCCATTTGCAAAGGACTAAATGTCCCTCCCCATGTCTCCATACTGTAGAAGGCAGCATCATACATAAAGTAGAAATGAAAAAGCTTAACGATGGCTCAGGTAAAAGAAAGGTTGGCAACGTGGTATAATGCCATATCCCCCACCTTACAACTCTCCTGTCCCAGTAAAGGATGTGATGGTGAAGGGCTACCTTTCCAATAGCCTCTGAAGAAGCTGACAAAAAGCTGAAGAGACCTAGTAGTGTGTTACTGGAAAAGGCTGAGTGGCACAGATGTCACTTTCATTTTAAATATGGCCATTTTCATGTTTTTACTTTAATGACTGGGACAAAAAAAGGTAGACCTTAACCAAAGCTTAATGTTCAATACAATGTGAAATCTAAGGAAAAAAAAAAAACCACATGGCTTTTACAAAGTAAATAGATTTCCTATTCAGGACAACAGAAAAATGTCTTCACAAATATCATATATCTCCATTTCCCTTCTTCTCTGTCTTTTTCTTTCCCTCCCTTCCTACTCTCCAGTTTCTCCTTTGTCAGTATACTTTATTGTCATCTGTTCACCAATTCTACCTCATAGCATAATGAAATAGTGCTGACAGTACAAAACCTAACATTCTGGTGAACTGACGTTTCCCTAAGTTCACTTTTGATTTACTACCTTGAGATTTATAGTTGCTTTGTAGTTGGAAGATCAGTATCTGAAGAAAAGAAGAATACACATGTATGTATATGCATGTAGGCTCTGAAATGCACTCAGATACTCAGTGGTGTACAAACTTTTACCACTGGGAGCTTCATACAGGTTTAATGGCATTCGTCTATAAACAAATAGGTTGCATTATGTTGCACTCTCCAAAATTCCACTGCTGTATTTTAAGGTCATTTGCACATACATTCTATATGAGGATATAAATTTTAAAAAGGAAACTTAAGACTCTACAGATTCTGAAATTATTTGGGTAGGACGGATATTTGGTAGCTTTGCCTTTTGATTTGTACTGACTAACTTGCACTGTGATCAGAACTGCAACCTGGTGTAAGCTTCAGCTGCAGATAGAACAACCTGGATACACTACTATCAGCTGCAAGTCATATCTACTACCTATAACAGCAGGTCCGTTGGGTACAAAATATCTTATTAGAGCTTCCCTGACTGATAAAGTGGAAAATTAATTGTGGATCAAAAGGTTGTCTTAAGGACTTCCTGCTTGGTAAGGTAATTGATACACTCATTTAATGAGAAAAGGTGCCCACAGGTAATTTTTTTTTTCAGTGTGAATTTTAGAAGCTTTCAGCTCCTCCCATATGGATTTTCAAAATAAAAAAAGGGAAAGCAGTTAACTAACCCTTAGTAGAGAATAAAAACAGGTTGGTCGGCCCTGTAAAGAGAAGAGGGCAAAAGAAAAAGAAATTAGCAAGCTAGTGGTAAAAAGCGACACAAAAACAGTCAGAGAAATAAATCTGAAGACAAAAGTTCTGAAGCTGAGGAAATGTTGTAAATGGTAAAAATCAAAGCGTGGACCAGAAACCATGAGAATATTTACAGCTCAATGTGCTAACAGTCTCAATCTCAGCTAATTTACGGACAATTCATAGTGGCTGGGTAAAGCAGAGCTCTTTTAGATGGATGTGAGCAATGGGCCAGAAATGTTGATTAGATCACTTTCTGGCTTAATATGCAGCCATTCTGCTGTTATTAAGAGCAGTAAGAAGAAGAGAGGTTGTCAGCACTCACAGGCTCACAGGAGACTATCTAGAATGAGACACAGTCAGCATAAAGGTGTAAAGGGCAATAGATTTATTTCTCATTTTCCCATTCCCTGAGGACTGTTGCAACATATAGAGAAAATTACCAGAACTTTGAAAAAAGAGAAATAGTTATAGTTCTTCCATTCAAAGAAAATCCTAAAGGATTGCATAGATGTTCAGAACAACAACAACAAAAAAACAAACACCACATTTTTTCCGGAGAACTTTTCTTCCCCTGTAATCTTGAACACAATCCATTCAACTGCTATAGAAACAGAAGCTGATGGATAGTATGAGAGGTAGGATTACTGATCTTTTTCATTGCTTTTGGTTAGATTTGAAAAATTACAGAAAATATCCAAAACAGAGACCCCAAACAAAAAGATATTTGGAGTACAGTAGGTCATACATGTAAGGAATTGTGTTGGTCAAGGGCAACCTGAATGCAGAATGCTTTGTTTTAAGAATACTACCAGCTTACTCACAGACCAGTCAAACAGTGGCATAAAAGGCTGGATTTTTCTGTATCTCCTTAACTAGATATCTATTTTCTAAAACTACGACAAGTGGATGAAAAAAACTGAACACTGCATAAAGATTGAAATGTTACTGAAAACACTGGCAGCTGCAGTATTATCAGTAAGAAACATTTGCCCAAAAACTAGAATATTAATTTTGTAACAGTCCAAATTGTTGGAATTTTACATTCAGACTCACTCACAAATCTAAATGCGTTTTGCTAGTTTTCTATAATTAACAGAAGCAGTAAGAGAAGAGTGACAATGTAAAACTAGTTGGAAGACATTAATAACTTACCTACACAGGAGGTTCCATCATTAGGTACAAAAGTTTTTTGACCATTGCTGGATTTGAAACCAGGTGCACACATGCAGAAATAACTTCCCACAGTGTTTGTGCAATTGGCATGCTCTCCACAAGGCTGAGTAGCATTTTCACATTCATTATCATCTGTCAAGACACAAATTATGGAGAAATACATTTGCATTTGCAGATTTAAGAAAACAGTGAAGTAAAAACTTAATTTGGCCTTCAGTATTTTATTTATATAATATTTGAATGCTGAGCTGGCACTGTTTGTACAGATATCCCATTGCCAAGGATATAATCAGGTGTTCAGCAGCTCTTCTCTGCCCTCATCCTGAGTGAGCTAATAAATGAGAAAACCAATGGGGTACTGAAACAAATATCTTGCATATTCAGCTGGAATAAAGGATTGAGTCAAGTGCATGTTCTGCTATAGTTGATTTGATAATATTTTTGGTACCCATAATGATCTTCACAAATCTACAGGTAGAAAATCACCCTAAGGAAGAAGTAACCCACTGCATTCATTAACATTAAAACAGAATCAATATAGCTAAATTGAATTTTTTTTTCCTGGTTTGTTGAAGACTATCTTTGGTATTTCTCAGCAGTACCAGACAACAAGCTTACAAAGTGTGTCTTACTGACTGAATCATAGAATGGCTTACGTTGGAAGGGATCTTAAAGATCATCAGACTCCAGCACTCCTACTGTGAGCAAGGTTGCCAGCCACTAGATGACTGAGCTGTCATTTTTTCTTAGTTATCCCAAAGATCTTAACAAACTAATGAGCAAGACTCCCGGCTTGATCTTCACATCTGCTTATCAGACTGGGAATAATACTCACAATACTAATAATATCTTTCCAAATAGCCCATTTCTCCCCAAGCACCTCAAAACTCTGAAGCAAACAAACAAAACTCAAACAAGAAGACACTGAGTTCTCTATTTTCTACATCCTGTGAAAGTAAAAGAGTTAAAGGCTTCCTGAAGTCTGCTGGGATTTTGTTCCTGTTCTCAAGTCAAAGGTACTCGTAACATGATGAATGACAGGAAAGAATTCTAACAGGGAGAGAAATAACAATTTATTGCAGAAGAAGAACGATTAAGGAGCATGACAGGGAGAAGAAATATGACTTCAGAAAAGATGCCCAAGGATGAATTTCAGAAAGGTGCTTCTGCTTCCCAATGGCCAGTGTTCTCACAAGGTGTTCTCGGAGATAGGATACAGATAAGTGTAGTGTCGTGTAAGTTAGGGAAGTAGTAAGATTAACATACGTTAAGAGCTGTAAAGCATTACAGGAATAGATTTCTGTAATGTAACTTAGTCTCAACTCCCAGAGTAACCCTGGCACAGGACGCTTTTCAGAACTGAAGTCTGACATAATTTTGAATATTGTTCAGTTGACTCAGAGGTGCAAATATCAATTCAGAATGGCAGCTTTCCTCAGGGGAATTTGGGTCAACAGTATTAAATGGATTAAACTCATTATAACTAAAAGTGAATGTAATTTAATGAGGAATCCAAGTATAAAAGGACTCTGCCAACACGTCAACAATATTTATTTTACAGCTTTGGCATTCATGAAAACACAGGAGAGAAGGTATATAATTTGGATGGAAGGAATGGTAAATCTAAATTAGTTTAAGTGAAAGTAAGATAGAGGGAAAAGTGCTTCATCCAACATATCCCCATATATATGGGAATATGAAAAGTCCAGTTTGGCAAATGGCATTGGGAAGGCATTATACTTACTAGAAAATAACATGCATTGGCTTTGGAAAGCTTGTGGGATAGAAGGTGTGGAAGCTAAGTGGAGACACTGATCACTGCAGGTCTTTACTCAAAGTAGGGGAACAACAGAGCTGAGGAGATAAGAAGTACAGAATATATGCAAAATCTCCCCTTTTGGATTTGTCTCCTAGGATCTCAAATATAAGAATCAAAGTCTTCACACTCAGCACTACTACTTTTCAAGCGTGACAAACTACTTGTAGAAAACATTAAAATGAAACACACAATTATCATCAATATCATATTTACAACTCTGTTTAATTAACTTTACTGGGTTATTGTTGTTTTTCCCAATATTTAGGGTATATGTAAGATTGGTGACTAAATTGACTTAGAATACTTATTGAGAGAACCTCCGGGATAGGCTTGTCTTACTTTTCTAAGAGTAAACAAGTCTGTTCTACAGCTAACTTAGAAAACTATGTTGTTTTCAGTAACCGAGTCTGATGCACTTGTCAACACAAGCTTGGGTGAACCAGATGTGCTTTACAGTCTTTATTCACTGATGGTGAGAGCTAGCATAGCTGCTAGCATAGCTAGCATAGTCACTCTACGTGTAGTGTTATCAATGTCAAATGGAAGGATATTCGCTTAGCCTTTTCTTCAATGCAGTGATTTTGTGAGTCTTTTGTGTTTTTTGTTTGTTGGTTTTTAAAACCTAAACAGAATCATAGAATCATTAAGGATGAAAAGACACTAAGATCATCTAGACCAACCATCAACCCATGCCTGTGACAGCTCTAGACCATGTCACTACATGCAAAATCCACTCTTTTCTTGAACACCTCCAGGGATGGTAACTCCACCACCTTCCTGGGCAGCCTGTTCCAATGCCTGGCCTCTCATTCTGTGAAGAAAATTTTCCTAATATCCAACATGAACATCCCCTGCAACGGCTTATGACCGCTACCTCTTGTCTAATTGTATAGACGAAAGAAGTGGGAATGCAAAGGAAACATCTTTTATGTACCAGAAAAAAGAAAAATACAGGGCAGAGTCCGCACATGGCAAAAGTTAAGGAAATGTTTACCTGCTTCAGTGGCTCGAAGCCAGAGAATTGGTAGGATTAAGATTTTTGAGGAGGAGGGACATGATGTTCTTGTACTCGTAGCATTCTCATTAATGAACATGGATCACAGTTTCATCTCATGCTACAGGCTTTTTCTCCGGTTACGTACAAAATATGCACACTGTACAAGATCAACAATTAGAAATCATACTATGAATTGCTCAATTTGGAATATGTAGACAAATGCAATAAGGTAGTCAGTCTTCTATTAAGAAATACTGAGACGTATCAAGTGACTGAAAATTCTACCACATTCAGAAAGGGTAGCAATTTTATTCCATTTTCAGAAAGAAATAATAAGATGCTTAAATTATAGAAAATGAAGTCCAGCACATCTTTACTATGGCATGATTCCCAGACACCAGCTGTACGTACTGTCAAGGACGTATGGTCTTGTTTATTATCACATAATTTGAGAAACATCAAGAACATCTGAACAGAATAATAGAATCTTAAATTGTAAACACAGAAATGGAAATTTTAAAGAGTTTAGTTCATAAGCAGTTTTCTTTTTGCTATTCCCATGATCTAATCTAATACTGAGCAGACCATGCTGGGGAGTAATTTACTGACCATATCCTGCTTCCATTGAAATTAATGGTATTAAAGTCACTGACATAAGTTGGCCCAGGATGGTGCTCACTATGAAAAACTAGCAGATTAATGAGAAAGGCAAGCAAGGGAAAAAGTCAAGGAAAACTTTTTATATTCAGTTTTACTAAATAAAAATTATTTAAATAATCTGCCTGACTTCACACAAAATATTTTACAACATTAAAACTGATGAATATATTTTAGTTGTTGATATAGGCAAAACTTTTTTTTCTTCTTCAGATAACAGCTAACGTGAAGCTTAGGGGATTGAAGATAGTTTACAAATTTTACAGAATTTACAGTACTATTGGATTTGTGATTTAAGGGAAGTCAGGAAAAAAAAAAAAATCCAAAAGGATTTATGGACAGAAAATTTTCTAACAAACATTTTTCCACTGAGAGGGTATAGCTTCAATGACAACAACACCTACTTTCTTGCTACGTGATTTAATTATGGCATATGCATTCACAACCAGCACAGACAACCACTGAACACTGCAGGCAGTACTCAAGGAACGCACATTTCTTTAAAGATTTATTTATTTCTTCTTCTGATTAAAAAAACAACAACAGAAAACAGAGACTTCTAGAAACAAGACTGGTCAAATGTCAAAGTTAATTACTGTGCACCGAAGTGTTGGTAGGATGCTTACATAGCACAAGTGTAAAATAAAACTAATTCTCCAATTCCACCTTGAAAATGCAACTGTGTATTTTACTCTGCATAAGTGTAATGTGGCTAGATCAAACTAATTGATAGCTGCATGCAAGAATTTCTCTACTGGTCTCTCAAAAATGTAGAAGGTTCTAAAAAGTAAGGGGTGTGTGTGTGTGTGTGTGTGTGTGTGTGTGTGTACACACGTATATCTGAAAAGGTGATATGCTCCTTCCAAACTTTTGAACTGAGGTTGGTATTTCTGTATTAAAAGTGTATGAGTAATTACTATGAGAACACAATTGATTTAGGATTAAGTAGCCTCACATGGAAGTTCACGTATTGATGGAAGTTCTTGTTCACAGAGGAAGCCAAAGAGGATTGTTGTTTGAGGGGGAAAAACAAAAAACAAAAACAAAAAAACCTCTTTTACATCACATACATAATATTGTTCACTGAAAAATAAAATGTGTATGATTTCTGGTTAGCATTTACTGAGCATTTCATCCTTTTAGAAATTTAAAAATGTATGAAATTAAGTGGAAAAATGATTTGTGGATTTTAAACCATGATGCTGTTGGAAACTAGAGAACTATGACAAGATTTTTAGGAATAAAGCATGGAGCAAATTACTGAAATCATACTCCACATCTTTCCCAAAATGCAAGTTTCACCCTTTTGTACATAGTATTTCATTACTGGGTAGTTATAAAATTACAATCTACAATAGGAAAACTCCGGGACAACTACAGTTACAAAATGACACCATTTGTTATTATTGTGACAAGCACAAGAGAACACTTTGATTTATCAACTCTAGATATAGGATTTCTGTAATGCTGTTTACGTATTTTACATGAAAAAGTGTCACAAGGGGAACTTATGGCAGTGAGTTTGTCAAACCAACAGCCTCAAAGGATTACCATTGCAGTGAGTACCTTTCCATGATAGACGTTATGATGATATGATGACATGTAATATGAAGAATTAGTTTTGGGGTGAAGCCTGTGATATTGATTCACAGTTGTACA